AGCCCAAAACCAGGGTCTAGTACAATAAAACTCACCAATATCCCCACCGAACCCTGATAGATGCACAGTCTCATAAGTTCTAACGGAACTGGGTTTTAAAGGAACTGACAAATGGGACGTGCACGCGACACAGGGAGGTTCTGCTCAGACACGTGAAAAGAGAGTTACAGTAGTCTAAGCGTGAGGAGATGAAGGTGTGGAGAACTGTCTCAAGTTCAGAGCGAGACAGAATGGGACTCAGCTTAGCAACGTTCCTGAGATGGAAGAAGGAAGAGCCAACAAGAGAACTGACATGAGAATCCAGGGTGAGAGCTGGGTCAAAGGTCACGCCAAGATTCCTGACAGAAGGTTTGGTGTGGGAAGCAAGCTGACCAAGAGAGTCTCTGACTTTGGGAACCAGCTTGTCTGGGGCACAGATGAGGATCTCAGTCTTATCTTCATTCAGCTGAAGAAAGCTCCCACCATCCAGGCTTTGATAGAGTCTAAGCAGGTGTGTAACAGCTGCAGCTTAGACGTCTCATGGGGCTTGAAGGAGATGTACAGTTGGATGTCATCTGCGTAAAGATGGTAGGAGATTCCCTTGAAGGAGCTCAGGATGTGCTGAAGAGGAAGCAGGTAGAGGAGGAAGAGCAGAGGCCCCAGCACAGAACCTTGTGGGACACCATGGGTAAGAGAGGTGGTGGAGGACCTAAACTTGGAGACGGCCACAGAAAAGGAGCGCTCAGAGAGATAAGAGGAGAACCACTCCAGAGCAGATCCTGATAGGCCTACCCAGTCTCTCAGCCTCTCCAGTAGCAGGTGATGGTCAACAGTGTCAAAGGCTGCAGTCAGGTCCAGCAGGACCAGAACAGAACCGTCCCCTGCATCACTGTGAGTCAGAAGGTCATTAGAGACCCTAAGAAGAGCTGTTTCAGTAGAATGAGCTCTACGAAAACCTGACTGGAAGCTATCATAGATGTTATGTTCATCAAGAGCAGCTGTGAGTTGTTTAGCCACAACCTTTTCCAAGATCTTGGAGATGAACGGAAGTTTAGAGATGGGTCTGAAGCTGCTATGGAGAGAGGGGTCGAGACTCGGTTTTTTAAGAAGCGGGTGGATTACAGCGTTCTTAAAGTAAGCAGGGACCTGACCAGAGACCAGAGAAGCATTAATTATAGAGAGCATGCTGGGACCGATGGACTGAAAAGCACTTTTAAACAAAGATGAGGGTAAGATGTGGAGGGGGCATGCAGAGGTCTTCATAGAGTTAACTAGTTTGGTTAACTCAGGCAAAGAAACAGGAGCAAAGCTATCTAGGATGACGGGCCTGGTTGGAGTCGGGAGAGGCAGCGATAAGGCTGAAGGAGAGATGCTAGATCTAACCTTATTGACTTTGTCCACAAAGAAAGACAGAAAGTTCTCACAGTCTGCAACAGAGTGGATGGAGGCTGTAGGAGAGGCAGGAGAGACGATGCTGCTGATGGTGTTAAACAGCACCTTGGGGTTCCCTTTGCTCTGGGACACCAGGTTGGAGAAACAGGAAACCCTGGCATCTCTGACTGCAGAGTTAAAGGATGTCAGAAGATCCTTTAGGTGCAGCAGATGGACGTGGAGATGGGCTTTCTTCCACAAACGCTCAATTTTTCTGCATTGGCGCTTCAGGCTGCGAAGGCTGTCATTAAACCAGGGAGTAGGGTTCACTGCAGGAACTGATCTGGTTCTGACAGGACAGATGTTGTCCAGAATGGAGAGGCAGTGCTCGTTAAACTGAGAAGTTAAGGAATCTGGGTCGTTATCAGAAGAACAGGGTGGATCAAAAGCAGCAGAAAAATTGCTAGCTGTGCTCTCATTAAGAAAACGAGAACTAACCAGACGGCGAGCAGGAGGTGGGGACGCAGAAACTGACAAGTTAAAGAAAATGCAATGGTGATCTGAAATATAAACGTCCTCAGGACAAACACTGTCAGCATTTAGACTCAGGGTAAAAACAAGGTCTAGAGTGTGTCCCCTGGTGTGTGTGGGGCCAGAAAAATGCTGGGTAAAGCTGAAGGTGTCCATGAGGCTGGAGAAATTCATGGCAAAGTGATCAGAGGGATCATCAACATGGATGTTAAAGTCACCAACAATCACCAGTCTGGACAGCTTCACAGTGGAGGATAGAAAGTCACTAAACTCCTGAAGGAAAGAAGCATTTGGACCAGGTGGACGATAGACCACAGCACAGTAGAACGGGTCCTTACGCCCGACTTTAATCAGCTGCAGTTCAAAGGAAGCAAAGTGACCAGAGGTTGTAGAGCTACATGGAAGATGGTCTCTGAAAACAGCTAGGCCTCCACCATGACCAGAACCCCGGGGCTGGCTAAGAAAAGAATAACCACTCGGGCGGAGTTCAATCAGAGCAGAATAGTCAGATGTTTGCTGCCAAACTTCAGTCAGAAACAGAAAATCCAGGTTTTTGGACAGAATTAGATCATTGAGCAGGAAGGACTTATTGTTAACAGAGCGGGTATTTAATAGAGCCATGCTGAGTGAGGTGGAGGAATCAGAAACTACAGAAACAGCTGGAGTTAGTGGACGTAAATTAGCAGGGTTAGATCCACAGTGTTTATACACCACTTATGGAGGGAACAGGAGGAGAAACCACTGAGGAATGAGGACAAACCGACCTTAAAAAACTTGGACGGATGAACCGCGTCCCAACGCGGCCTGGCGGGAATGCGGAAGTGGCGCTCAGGTCACCAAACAAAGGACAAGAAGCTAGAAGATCGTGCCGATGTTTACTAGATAAACCACGCTTTAAGAGAAGTCTTATTCTCACCTGGATTCCTGCTCGTTTACCTCTTTTCCTCCGACGTGTTCCTGGGACCGGACAAACATCGCTAGAGGTGCGCAGCTCTGGATCGTCGATTGCTTCCGGGCCAGCGCGCCGCTCAGGTAAACAAACAGGATGGTAAATCCTCGGTGCATCTTGGGCGATCGTGAACGAACGGAAGGACAAAAGAGTCTGGCGATCATAGGAGATGGTAGCAGAGACACTACTGAAGAGGATCGCAGACAGGAGCAAGGTGGAAAAGAGGAGGTTAGTGGAGAAAAGTTTGCCGGTGACCGCGGCGAAGCCAAGCACAGGCGCCATCTTGCCGACCGGAAGTGATGAGGAAACCAGGGTCCCAGCCCCTCCCTACCGGGTCTCACGTTGTGAACTGTGACGTTTGTGCTTATATGTTGGGTGGTTTTTTTTGCATAGTAGAGCTACACCCTGCCGGTGTAGCTCTGTTAATGCCTTTTTCTCCCTCCCGGAACTCTCCTCATGTAATCCCCTCTTCATCTATTGAAATGAGCGCCATCATGGCTAGTCTCGTGGTCTGCCTGTATCTGTCCTGTCTATATGTGTGTGTGTAATCTTGGTCAGGCTGTACTGTGGAGTCAAGTTCCTATGCTCTGGATCGCTGGAGTGCTGGCAATAAAATTCATTCTGATTCTGATTACTGTGGCTGCGGTTTAGGCGAGGTGGCCCTTACCAGCCACCGTCGCTTCTGCTGAAGTTGCCGCGCACGCTCACTTTTTAGTATGCAACCAAAACTTTGAAGTTGAAATAATGGCCGAAGGAGGAGACGGCAGCGCCCAGGACATCCATCAGCGCTCAAAGAAGACTAAATCGGAAGTATGGGCATATTTTGGATATCTGAAAAATGCTGAGGGACAGTTAATAGAAGACGCCTATCCTGTTTGCAGAACGTGCAGGAAAAAAAGTGTCTGCAAAAGGCAGCAACACTTCGAATCTAAAGCCACATCTGCGTGACCATCACCCACAACACTACAGCCAGTGCAAGGTAAGTTAACATTAGCATTTTAGCTTAAATGCATGACGTGAGGACTTTTGGTTGAGGGAGAATGCAACGAGTCACTATAGACTGCAGCCGCAGCGCCCTCTGCCAGCATTCAAACCGTGTCACGGACACCCCTCAGTGACAAGAAAGATGGCGTTACCAGGGCGCGCCCCCATCGTGCAATGTCACACTCCAAAGCCCCATTAGAGTCTCATGTCGTGTGAACTGTTGATGCTCGTGCTTATATGTTTGAGGTGTTTTGCATAGCAAAGTTAGCCCCTGTCGAGAGTAACTCTGAAATGCCTTTTTGTCCCTCTCCCCCATTTATCCTCATGTAACCCTTTTCTATCTAACTGAAAGGAGCGCCTTGAATGGCAGCTCTCGTGGTCTGCCTGCATCGGTTTGGTTCTACATGTTTTGTGTGTGTAACCTCGCTCAGGCTGAACTGCGGAGTCAAATTTCTGTGCTTCGGGACGCTGGGGCACTGACGATAAAGCTGATTCTGAGAATGGCAGGAGGAAACGATCGTGACAGATTTTTAAACTGTCTGTCAAAAGAAAACATGTCTCAGCATGTAGGTGTTGTTTCTGTACCTGCTTGTAACTTACATTGATAATAACGTGTTAAATTAAGGCTCATCCAGAAAATGAAACCTGGCGCAGCTACCTGGGCACCAGATTCAGTGGAGTAATGTTTGTGGACGGCTACTTTTAACTATTACTTGATCATAAATATGTTGCAGTAGTGCTAATCTTACTTAAGTGATATATTTTCAGCATATTTTGAGCTCATTTGTTTCCTTTGAAGTCGAAGAGATCTACGATGGGCTGCATGGTGGCGCAGTGGTTAGCACTGTTGCCTCGCAGCACGAAGGTTGCAGGTTCAAAAACTCGGCTGCGGCCTTGCTACGTGGAGTTGCGTGTTCTCCCCATGCATGGGTGGGTTTCCTCCGGGTACTCCGGTTTCCCCCACAGATCACAACATGCCCTATAGGTTATAAATTGTAAGTCGCTTTGGATAAAAGCGTCTGCCAAATAAATAAACATAAACGATGACGACTGTAGACAATTTCTGAAAATACCGACTTCTATCATCCTAGGAACCACACACACACACACACACACACACACACACACACACACACACACACACACACACACACACACACACACACACACACACACACACCAGTACCTGTGTCCATGCTGATGAAGCAGTCCCAGCTGATGGATGATCCTGAAGTGGTAGCAGGTTTTCTTTAGCCGTGTTTAGCTAACAGCTGCAATAGAAACAAAGCAGGAGAGCTGATTAAGATGCTGCTTCAGAACAACGCAGGCAGGGGCGCCGTAATGCGGTGAAAGATTAGGAAGATTCTAAGGGCCCACAGCTGTTCAGGGGCCCAAAAAAGTTTCAAAGTCGAATAACAAAAATTAAGTTTAAAAATCACAAGTACTTTACTTTGCAGTATTTTTTTCTCATTTAAGACATTAAACAAACAATCTTTTAGTCTTTATGAAATGTATATGTAGCCCAGTGTTTTACCAAGTTGTGGTGAATTCCTACACTCTTCTGTCATTTAATGCACCTTGCCTAAGTCATGTGACGTTGATCACATGATCAAAGGCCTGCACTGGCTTCCTCCCTGCAGACATGTGGGGGAAAGCCAAGTGACAGAGCTGTTGCAGGTCAGTACACCAAAAACCAAAGCTTTTCTTATCTCAAATGCATTTGTTTGACATTCACTAAGATATTACTTGACTCAGACACCGACAACTGTGAGCTGGAGCCTTGTAGGGTCATCATACACCATACAGAAGCTGGAATTGGTGAGTTTTAAGATGAGTGTGTTTGTTTGTGTCATATTAGCAACTAGCATGCTAGTGGGTTGCATGCTGGTAGCAAATGCAATACCATGTATGATGAATGCTGTTTCAAACAATTGAGCATGATCTTGTTTTTAAATACCACCAATGAACTCAAAGCTAAGTTCTTGTTTGCTATTTTTGTGGGATGCTAACTTTGTCCAAGCTATGTAGTATTTATCTAGCGGTACATTGGTTTGGATAAAGCTTTACTGATATTCTAAAATATTATGGGTTTGTATTGAATGTACAGTTTATGCACATTGATTTTAACACCATGTATTTATAAGAATTAATTGTGTACACAAGAAACGAAGGGAAAAAGGACACCTTTGCAATAAGATGTCTTACTAGTCCTGTTTGTTTAATACAGGCCAGGTGACCCTTTAAGGGTTTAAGGATGGCGAGCTAACGATTGGCCAGAAGACCTCTCCTTCATCTTCCTACTGGTCTGGTAGGAAGATGTCTCAGACAACGTTCTGCCCACCCCCAACTCCTTAACCAATTCTTGGATTCACACACCTCCCTTTTCAGTACTCTTTGACAAAGCACTTGGATAATTTTCATGGACACTCGGATCACATCCTGGACAATTAATTCGGTGTGAATCCATTGGATCTTCAAGTCCTGCAAAGGAGTGTTAACTATTCCGGGGATCAGACCGAAGTCAGAGTGTTCCTCTAGAACGTTCACTAGAACTAGAACTTTCAAAGTGCACTTTAACTTATTTATCAGTGCTGCAGCAGTGGAACCTGTTAATTTGTGTTTGTTTATTTTATTTATAATTATTCAATATATTGCCTTTGCAAACTATTTCAACGTGTTGTGTATTCTTTTATTATTGACAACCAGCTCCAGCAGTTGTTCCTGGGTTCTGATAAAGTCAGTATACACTAGCCATACTTCATTTAACTTAATTCATTAGCGCTTCCAAAGTGTTACATATATTTATTCAGAGGTCCCTACTTTATTTTGACTAATTAATTTTAAATTACTGTGAGATTATTACTGTGAAGCACCTTTTTGAAGACACCATACAAGAAAAAAAAACCTCTTCATCTACTAAACACCTTGAAATGAAATGTTTCAAATCTGACTGAATTATGGGAGGTTTTACAAGATGTAATTTGTCTATGTAGCTTTTAGAACACAAACCAAAAATCAGTCATTTCCAAATAATTCACCAGAGCAAAAATGAAACAAAAGCTATTAATAATTGTAATAAATAAACTTAATATAACATTAAACACGATAAAATATGAAATCTAGTATTGATGATGGAAAACTACAGCTAATATCCTGCAGGAGTCTGTGCTGCATTTTCCCTGTTGTGCATTAATTTTAATGACTGGGTTCAAAAACAAAGAAGTCACCTTGTGAGCAGTGACTCCTTAATTTTTGTCAGTCATACAGAAATACTTGATTTCAAGAGGAAAGACAGCTGAAAATGTAGTTATGTAAAGCTTTGACACAACATGGAAATTTAATTAGATATCCAAATTTGAATTTTATCATCAAATAAAATCTTAGAATAAATAAACACATTTTAAGAGAGTAATAGGGAAAATGAGATTAACACCTTTCAGCATGTGCATTTCCTGCTTTTTCCAGCAGTGGTATTGCTAATTCTGTTGAAGGAAATTCACTGTTTAATGAGAGACAGCTGGTGAAAATGATATGTAAATAAGTAAGAATGCATGTAGACCTACATAATTAAGCAAAACTGAAACACTAATATAAAGTATATATATTTTATTTTTTTTCTCCCTTCGAATCTGGGAGGGTGGAACCCCAGCTCCAGCTATGGACGAGCCCCCAGGGGGCCCAACTTGATATTTTTTCATGGGGCCCAAAATCTCTGGCAGCCCCCCTGAACGCAGGAGATTAAAGACCCAATCGCTTTGGTTCTGATCAGCTGAGGACAGATCCAGTCTGGAAAAGACGACCTTTGGTCACCAGCAGGGGTGGACTGGCCTATCTGGCACTGTCCCCGTGGACCGCTTGCCCAGCTTGGGCCGTCCCAAACCAAGCCTCCGCCTCACGTGCGGTTATAGAGACAAGTCCGCCAGCAGCACACACAACACCCTGCCCCTCCCCCCATATATCCAATCCAATTCAATTTTATTTATAAAGCGCATTCACAAGGCATTACAACCAAACAAGGTGCTGTACACTAAAAATGTTAGTTAATTAAACCGGCGTTATACAAACATGTCGAACACAGATAAAAGATAAAAAGGAAATACAACATAATTCCCAAAACTAACAGCTAAAAATCATTAAGACACAGGGTAAAATAAAAATAGGAAAAAAAAAACATTTTACAAAGAGCCTCAATAGTACGGAAGTCGATAATTGTGGAGTCCATTTTTAAACAGTGCAGATGTCAGTGAGGTCTATAATTATGTGGTATACACTAGGTTGAAGTAGTGAGTTTTCAGGCGTGATTTAAAAATGCTAGCTGTCGGTGCTAGCCTCACTAGCAGTGGTAATGCGTTCCACAGCTTGGGTGCACAGACAGAGAAAGCCCTTTCTCCACGGCTTTTTAAACGTGCATTGGGAACAGCTAGGAGGAGCTCATCTTCAGACCTGAGAGCACGCGGCGGGTTGTAGTAATGGACAAGTTCACACAGATATGGAGGAGCTTGATGGTTCAAGGATTTGTAAGTCAGAAGCATAATTTTGAAATTTATCCTGAACTGCACAGGGAACCAGTGGAGAGATTTCAGAATTGGAGAAATGTGTTGTCTTCTGTCAGCTCCAGTCAGCAACCTAGCTGCTGAATTCTGGACCAGCTGAAGTCTAGAAAGAGCTGCTTTACTGATGCGTATAAGCAGGAGTTAGAGTAATCCAGCCTTGAAGTGATGAAAGTGTGGAACACAGATTTCAGAAGACGTACACTCAGGATGTGCTTTAGTTTCGAGATGCGTCTTAGTTGGTAAAAACATGATTTAACTGTATGACGGGATAGACGGGTCGCGAGCAGCAAACTCCCCTGCCGAGGGCCGACGGTTCATAAAAATGCCAGGGCCTAATTTTGGTCCCAGTCAGGGGCGTCGGACTGGGGGGGGGGAAGGGTACCGTTTACCCAGGGCCCACTGCAGGGAGGGGCCCTGAGACAGCTTTGAATAAAAATGTTTATTGTTGTTGTTTTTTCCCCCCAACTTACTTAATGTCTTAATAAACTTCCCTTTACCTGGATAAAGAGGTTAAGAAACAGAATTTCGCCTTAAAAATAATAACTGAATAATCTCTGAGGCATCTATCACCCCTTAAAAATGTGCAAAGTGGTTTGGTCCACACCAGCGGCCAGGGGCTGCACGGCCGCATGAACAGCTGTGAGACATCGCAGATGCCGACAGCCAGAGCTGGAGGCAGGACAGTCAGTCATGTCTTTTCCCAAGAAAGGGAAATCTGGCTTCCAGAAAAGAAAAGAAGGAGGAAAAGTTAATTGAACAGAAGCAAGTATTGACTAGGTTTTTCAAGAAGGAAGGTGAGCAGCAGCAGCAGCAGCAGCAGAACACAGTTTTAGCTGATATTAGCTAGCTCTCAGAAGCTGCATTCATGTTAGTTGTTCAGTGTTAAACGCCTTTAGTTTCACCATCAAGATCAAATATAAATTAATTAGTGTTATCAGTGAAAACACTAATTAATATAAATATATTAATCAGAATTATTATCGCGGGCGGCCGCCGCCAATTAATTTGTGGACCTCGCAGTAAAAACAGGTTCACTCTGTGTGGATATTTCAGCTCCTTCCCAGTCATGGACCAGGACAAACTTGGTATCGATGGATTCGTGGTAATCTCAGGAATGAGAAGCTGCCACTGCTTTTCCTATAGCATGATGACACTGGTGTTAGACGATTGTTATTGACTTGGTTAGATATTTTAAGCCTATTTTAAAATTCTTTATATTTGATCTTGAAAACGGACAATCTTATAATTTGGCTGATAATGCAGGGATTATAAAATTTAGAGTGCATTACATTCACAGAGAGAACCTGGTTTATTTCATGTCATATGTATTTAATATATCAATACATATCAGCAAAGCTTAACATCATGAACCATTAGACATGACTGAAGAGCACATGAAGATATCATGTCAGGCACTGATGAGAAAATGTTACAAGGATCTCACAGCTGAATTTGAGAATGAGATGCTACACCTGAGAACAATATATGGTGCCACATTTCCACACATTCGGTCTCCTCTTGAGCTGCTTAATGCCATCTACAGGATGCAATTACAGAGCATTTTTGGAGAAGTTTGTATTGGACTGAGGATATTTTGCACACTATCTGTGACTGTTGCTGGGGGTGAACGGGCTTTTAGCAAACTGAAACTGGTGAAAAATTATTTGAGATCAACAATGTCCCAGGATAGACTGAACAGCCTAGCTCTTCTTTCTATTGAAAGCCAATTAGCCAAAGGATTGGACTTTAAAGATCTCATAAGTGATTTTGCTAACATGAAGACCCGTCAGGGGGCATTTACTGGAAAATAAATTCCAGGATTTTTGTTTGAACACATTGTTGGCAAATAAAAATAATTATATGTGAAGTCTGGGCATTTCACTTTTATTATGCTGGCATTTGTATTTGCTCAATATAGAGGTTAAACTAAGATCATATTTATTATCTTGTCTTATAGCATGACAAAAAATATGTAAGAGAGATATTAAGTAATTGAGCATGGGGGCCCACCTAGAAGACTTGTACCTAGGGCCCAGAATTTGGTGCTACGCCCCTGGTCCCAGTCACGGAGTAGAGCTAACCGCTTTTTCCTCCAGAGTCACATTCAGATTCGGGGCTTTTCCGTCGGAGTGTGAGCAGGATGGATGAGAGAGCGAGCAGCGATCCTGCATCATGACCAGCTCAGATGAGCGAGTCTGATAGAGGGAACCTCTTCAATCTGATGAAAGCAGCTAAACGAGCGCGTTTGTCAGAGAGGCCAAAGGAACAGCAGCAGAGCCAGAGGGCAGGAAGTCTAGAGAAAAGCTTTTCTGACCCATTACCTGCTTCTGGAGCTCCGATTGTCACGAAGACCGCAGAATATCTTCTCTGGTTCTGGAAAAAAGTCCACCAAGTTGTTGAGGAGGAGAAGAAGGTTTCCACAGCCTGGTGAGAAGATTTCTGCAGCAGCAGCAGTTAGTCGCTTTAGCCGATCAACTCTCCCAGAGACTCAAATATTCATTCACCTCACACACCAGAACAACAAGCTAGCGCTGCTAGCAGCTTCCGGGTTTCTTCTTCTTCTGTACAACCAACGTAAAGGTGCACTGCTGCCACCTAGTGGACACGACTCTGGATGAACAGCAAGAACCTGTGTGTTCCGTGTGTGACTAATAAAGCACACATACTAGTGACATAACCAGGCCAGACTTCTTCATGCAGGTCAATCTGACACTGATGTTGATATGAAGTCTATGAACTTGAGCCAATACTCCTAATTTATCCTGTGGTGTGCCAGAACGGCATCAAGGCTGCAGGAGACGCAGGACTCTTATGTATCCTCTCTGAATAAAGTCTATCCTCCCTGGCTCATATAATAATTTTATTATTATTATTAAAGTCTATCCTCCCTGGCTCATATAATAATAATTATTATTATTGTTGCTGCCCCTTGGCATGAGAGGGTGCTCGCTGCAGAACTACAAAGGCGGAGCTGCACCAGAGTCAGCCCCGCCCATTCACGCAAACTCAGCCTAGCCCACTGACTTCTTCTGTGTTGTTTTCCAACTTTATCGCAAACTAACCTGACCCACATGAATTACGGCTGTTACTAGTTTACAATTGTTAATGCTATGCTCTTTGCTCCAATTAAACAAGAAAATTATAACTTGCTACCAGTGGCAGTTCTACATCGAATTACTCCCCGGGCGAGGCCCCCTTTGAGCGCCCCCCCCAACCCCCCACCACCACCACCACACCACCCCACCTGCACGAACACACTCATGTTTTCTACAAACAGGCATGTTTTATTAGAACGACTATTGAACATTCATTTTTCTAAGTTGCACATATTTACATAAATTACTATGAAGTTGTCAGAATGTAAAGCACTATGCATTATATACTGTATCAAAATATATAGAATCAAATATACAAAAACAAACAATAACTAAATATTAAGAATATATGAACATAATAGATAATAAATATTCTAAATAGCAAAAATATTTCACACATAACAAACTAAAGATAATCACTACAGCATTGCACTTAGAATAGAAAACACAAACTAAAATTAAAACCTAACCTTGATGCAACATCATCAATAATGTCATCATATGAAATCTGCTCCCCTACTGAGTGATTGATACTAATCGGAGCCAGGTTAGTGAGCCGCCCCTGAAACATAGTTGACCTCAGGTATGACTTGATCAAGTTTTGAAAAGCTCCTCTCAGCTTGAGCCACAGTGACTGGCAGAGCAGTCCACAAGTTGGGGTAGATCTCCAACAGATCTTTATCATGATCCATAATATTTTAGAATTGCCTCTGAAATTGTAATTTAAACTGACATAAAAAACTGTAGACTACCAAAAATGCCAACTTTTACAGAACAAATCATGTAAAAAATATTCAGTGCAGCCATCTGCAATAAATAAACAGGATAGTTAGTGGTGACTGGGGTGTTTTCTTCTGCTTGTAGAGTTGTTTTATTTATTATTATGTGAACATGATCAACATGTGTTTGTTGTTGTTCAGGCAGGCCACAGGCTGCAGTGAGCATTTAACAAATCCTAGTTTGAATCAGTAAAAAACGATTCAAGGACTTTTTTCAAACCATTTGAATATTCGTTTAAATATTTCAGCCCTATTAGCTCTGTTAGCAATTAGTTGACCGCATTTAACCGTTAAAATCCCAGTTAACTGGTTAAAAAATTGAAAACATGCATCATGAGAGCTACATACCTTTATCTCTCTGCTCTTTTTTCTTTTTTTTCCCCTGAATGGGGGCACCTGGTGGTTTTAGCCTTTTTATGTTCATCTCTTCTGTTTGGCTCTTGACTCAATAAGTTTCCTTTAGTCAGGACTAAACAATTTGACCTTGATGGGGGGGGGGGGTGACCACAAAATCATTTTGTTTTTCCTTTTTTTATTCGGCCATTTCACACAATTCAGAGAAACCTGAAAGAATGATAGGCCTGTGTTTATGATATTATGAATGAAATATGGAAGAACTTTAAGATGTGATTGACTTTAGCAATATTAATACAGTTGATTCAGCCCCTACCCGCTCATTCATTTGGGAAAGACGCAGAGGTGAATTCCCCCGCCGCACCCCTCCCCTTCCTGTTCTTCATAGACACACAGAGCACGTGAACGTTCTCAGTCAGCAGGAGCGCCTGCAGCTGCAGGGGGCGCCAACTTGCTGTTTCCAATCCAGACACTGTCATATGACAGATAATAGAAAACCTCGGTGCGGCGCAGATTTCCTTTTTTTTTTACTCCGCACTTGTGCGCCCCTTTTGTGTCATGAAAAAATGCCGCCCCGGGCAACTGCCCTGTCTGCCCGTGCCTAAAACCGCTACTGCTTGCTACATGACAAAGCCTGAATATATCCCAAAATGAAAAAGTTTCTTGTAGCGAATATTCCATTTCCATTCCATTCCATGTATTTGATAAAGCACATTTAAAAACAGCATGTGATCTGACTAAAGTGCTGTACAGGGGTAAAAACATATAAGGTTAAACAAATAATATAAAAGAATAAAACAGCTAGAGCATAGCACAAAGAACCAAACAAGAGAAGTCAATAAAATCAGTAAAAGAACAGTGTAAATAAACCTAGATAAAATAGCTAGGCAGTAAAAGCAAGGGAATAAAAGTAAGTCTTTAAGTGAGACTTATGGGCCATTCCCATCTGTACCGGGTCGGCCCGGGCCGGGTAGTGTAGGTTGTTTAAGCCCCATTCCCACCTGTACCGGGTCGGCCCGGGCCGGGTAGCGTAGGTTGTTTACATATCTGGGTGGCCTGGTATTTTTCCGGGCCAACCAAGGCTCATTCTCGGCCCTCTTCCCGAGGGGTACTGCTTCAGGCCGACCAGGGCCAACACACCCACTGCTGACAGCAAATTCACACCTTCCATTAGAGCAAGCCTCTGATTGGTGGGTAGAATCAGCCCACATGGGCTTAAGACAAGGACCCATCAAGTCAAAGAAACTCGTTCAGAGCCCGTACGAGGAGTCAAATCTCCTCCTAAACTTCGCCCTGCTACTGAGAGTTCTGAGTGTTTTTAGTGCCACAAGCGTGGCCATGTCATCAGGGACTGCTATGCTCTAAAGCAGAAAAACAGACGAAACGGCAACTCGCCCAGAAAAACCCGACCGGAATTGGCTCTTTGTTCGTCAAAACCCTGTGCTGGGATAAATGTAACCAAGCCAAACCCATGCTATAAACCTTTTTTGTCAGAGGGGCGTGTATCACTTCCGGGTTCTGAAACAGATGAAAAAGTGGTGATATTAAGAGACACCGGAGCTTCACAAACGCTAATTAAAAAGAACGTTTTGCCTTTTTCTGAAATGAGCCGAGCTGGCTACTCTGTGACGCCCTTTACTGCAGTTTTTCAATTGAGGCTCCCTTGTAGGTTTTAGGTTGTAAGATCTCTTATAAGGCTAGTGTTGTCTGTTCGTTCAGACATCTCTGGAACACTCCGCGGCGCTGGGGATCAGTGCCGTACGATACTTTGTGTTTAATCTGCCCGCCTTTTGAGATCTAGGGGTTAGTTGGTTAGTTTTTTTTTGTGTGTAGATGGCGGGAGTTCTCATTAGTTTGTTCGGTTGCAACAACTATGGTCATTTTGTTTACCTTTTAGTTGTTGTTTTGAGGGGGGGGAGTGTGACAGACACCGTCACCTTTTGGCCACAAGAGGCCCTCGGTCCGCTGCCTGCACAGCTGCAGGCTGTTAGTTCAATTATGCCTCCCTGTTAAAAGGGAACGCTTCCTGTCATTCTGGGAGAGATTTTCAGATGGGTGTTGACACAGAGGTGTTTGCTCTCCTCTCTAGCTCTCCTCGCATTACAGACGTTAAAGTCTCTGTTTTGTTACCTAAGTGGTTCGTTCGTTTTGACACCTTAGTGGTCCTAGTTTTGTTACCTGAGTGGTATTTTCTTAGTTTTGAAACCTGAGTGGTAATTTTGTGTTTGTATCTATAATAGTAATTTGTGTCTCCTCATTTATACAGAGACTTTTGCTCACCCTTTTGGTGCAGATTTTGTGTTTACCGTTTAGCCTTATTCCAGCCTTTGTGCTGCGTCTTTAGTTTATTATTAGATATCGTTTTTATTGGGAAATTCCTTTTGTTTATTAATACCCAGTCTTGGATGACCCTTTTGTTTCCTTTTCAGCCCAGAGCTTCGTTTTTGTTTAATAAATATCCTTTGGAGAATTTTAAGTGTTTGTTTCATTCCGGTACAACATCTTCTTTACTCCCTTAACCACATCGTGCTCCTAGCGAAGCCGAGGGATATAAAAAGCACTTAAGGGGCTACCACTGTAAGAACCTCCCGGAAGAGTCTGGCTGGTACAATGTCATCAGGACATCCTGATGGCTTCATGGAAAATATTAATCTCTCCAAGGCAGGCAGTGTGATCGGCTCAAAATGGTCAAAGCATCCGGTACAAACAGATACGGGCAGCAGAACATCTCCGGGGGAAATGATTAGACTCCTAATATTGGAGACTTTGTCTAGGAAAAATCTTAAAAATTGGGAGCAGAGATCATCTGTGATTGCAACCGTAGGAGAGTAATCAGTTGACAAAACTGCATATCTGCCCATAGCCGCTCCAACAGAACCTGTGCACAACAGCATTAAAGGCTATTGAATGGTTTCTGGTAGTCCAATGGTACGATCGTCTGATTTAAGTTTTGCTTTCCCCTCTGCTGATGCTGGTTCGACTCTCGGTGGGGTCGGCAGCAATCTATGTAGCCAACTGAAACATTTAATTTGCTTATATTTTAGTTGTAATGTTTATTTTCAGCAAAATATTTATGTCTCAAAGTTCTTTAAATTTGGTCGTTCCTAAACAGCATTTTAGTTGAAACGCTGCTCACAAATGGACTCACAATGGCTAAATAAACAAATTAATAAAAAAAACACACAGTCATTATATTGTAAACGGTACACCAATAAATTGTTGTAAACATAGTACTGGCAAGTGTAGCTAGAAAAGAAGAAAAAGGGTTTTAAACTACCTGATACTTCCGCTAATGGGAGGCGAACCTGCGCTAAACTGCATGCCAATCTGACTCCATAACCACTTCACCACTATACCTAATAAAAAGCAGGTGGTGTTACATGTAATTGTCCCATCCAGTGTGTCTTTGTAGATGGGGTGCATGGTTTCTCCGCCGGTGTCTCAGAAGTCATTTCAGAAATAATTTGTCAGAAAATTCACAGAATATCCAGATTTGAGAACCAAGATCAGACCCGCTTGGGGGAGAGGACGAAATTGAAGCGGAGA